ATGTCAGTGTAAAACCAGTCACACAGCTGGAAGCCAAAGCTCCAATCACTAACATCTTAAATAAAATGCAGACAACATCAATCCACAAATCAATAGAAAACAGCTTTGCTATTTGCTGCGAATGTTGCTCATGTGCCTTTGGGAAGCCCTGAGCACGTCAGATCCCTCGGGGAATTTTGGTTGAGGAGCGTCCCTTCAGGCTTGAGCAGGCTACRCTCCAAGCCAAGGAGCTTGCCTGGGAGATGACTGCAGATGTAGCAGCTGAATCTGGATGTCCAAATGACTCAGAAGCAGCAAACCAGCTGCAGAGAGGGAGCGGGAGAAACACTCAGGCACCAGTAACGTAGCCAAGCCTGGATTACTTTTGGCTGGGTGTTGACTCGCTGCAAACTCGGATTTCTAAAGAGGGAGCTGCCTCATGGTGTTCCTGGGACCTTGCCCTCATTTGTTTCTAAACAAATGGGATGGCATGCAGTAAGCATCTGGCTTCTGCACAGGATTATCTCACAAGACCCTACCTAGTGATGTAGTGACTATCCTTGAGCCAAAAAAGAACAGGATTTGTGTGTTTATTATTTGTTTATTTTGGTGTGGTAACCACAAGTATAGGGTAAAGGTCCCATTGTGCCAAACAGTATTCAGATACAGAACACAATTTGCTTTCCTCTTTGAGGACTGATTTTTCCAAACAAACTGCATGCTAAATTTTATCTGTGATGCACAATACAAAGCAATGATGTAACCTAGGCTTCMTGGAGCCTAAATAGACACCAGAAATACACTTCTCCCCGGACACGAAGCCAGCTTTCCAAAATCCACATATCCCAAACACTATCCATTTGCTAAAAGTTCAAACTTTCAAGTGAAAAATATCAAGAAAATGCATTATTTCATTTGGCTTGGTGAATGTGTAAACAGTGTGGTAACACGGGCCATAGACTGTGCCATGGATTAGCAGCAATTGCAGCACATCCTACCTGCACTGCTGCAGTTCTACAGATAACTGCTTAGAAGGACTTTCTAAAATAAACTTGGCCTAGATGGAAACTCAAAGGAGACCAGAAATGAATATGACCTGTGTAAATTATCTGCTAAAGCAGTGCTATTGACTTCCTACGAAYGAAATCACCTGCAGACCTGTTCTGTGGACAGTTAGTTATGGAACGTAGGAAAGAAACTGAGCATTTAATCTTCCTGCCTTCTGTAATGAAGAGAGAGTATGGCAATTACTATTGAAGCAATAAAGACTATTAAYGACATGACTTCTGATAATGGTGATGATGATGTCATGATACTAATGAAGAAATAAAGAAGGTGTGTGGAAAGATCCAAACACTTGGGTTTCTTTTTGTTTCCATACCMAAATCCCTGCTTCTATCAAACCTATCTAAACAATCTATTCTAAATGTGATATAGTTCTTCATAATAAACTATGAAGTATCTGTGGACTAACCTATTTAAAAATAAACTTTTAAACTAACAAACAATAACTCAAAACTGTGTTTTTCAGTGCAGGGTGCAAGGTCCTTAGTTCTGCATACATAGTTATAGCAGTGTTTCTAATATATATATACATAAAACTGGACATAAAAAATACTCTCTAAATATACTGTTTTGAGCTAAAGTTAATTTTAAAGTGCAAAGCCATTTTAAGTAATGAAAATATCAAAATAGTTGTAAGCAAAATAAACCTTTCTGCTTTCTCCTGAACAGAGCCATTGTGAGAGAATAGACTCAGAATAGAGAGCAGTATGGGCAACAATTTATGCAAGGAACAAAATAGAGCTCACAGTTAATGTTTACTTTCCTTAGAAAATGTGTGGCCTAGATGAGGCCACACATTTACATTTCAATATTTATTTTGCATTTAAGTCAAAATTTAATCCATTTATTTCATTAAGCCCCGTATTTTTTAAGAAAAGATGCAATTGCAACAGAATACATAGTTTTAATGGTGTGGGAAAACATTTTATTGACATAAATTCCTTTTGGAGATGTTACATGTTAGCAATGAAAGACTTGTAAAAAACCATAAGCATCAGTACTTAAGCATATGTTAGTTTAACAAAATTTGCAAGCTATTTTCATATTGCCTATAATTTCCTAGGTTTCTTAACATACCATTAACTCATTCATGACAGTCTTTTCAGCTATTAAGGTTAGGTCTCTGCAGCAGATGTGATCTTTTTGTTTCATGGGTTACTTTAGTCTTAATAGAACAGGCGTCATCAGTCTGGCATGGAAATAGTTACAGCCCTTCTCTAGTTCCTGCTCCCCCTTCCCTTCCTTTTTAGGATACAGGGCAAAACTGGCAGAGGAAGAGACTCTATTTAATTTTTAGCAAGAGAAAACTCCCCGAAATGAAGGAATCATCTCTTGGCCATTTCTGAGCACTCAATCCAGTACTATCACAGTTAAAAGGTTTTTATTGTTATTTTATTCCTCAAAGAAAATATTTTCTCTGGTATAAACAACAAGTAACTAAAGTGAATTTCTTGTCAGTGGAACTATAACTCAGTTCTCTTCCATTTATTTTAGTTCACTATAGAGGCCCTATTCTCACATGTTTTTCTATGCAGTTGGCTCTTTTGTTTTTAAATTTTGAAAAATATTGGCTTTCCCCCTGAAGTCCTGGAGCACTTTCCAGTCAGTGGAAGATAGTGCCTTGCTTGTTTTCTAATGGAAAGGAAAGAATAAATCTCATGCCTGGGCTGTGTCTTTTTAAAAACAACAACACAAAAAGTCCCCCAAACATAGAGTACTATTTTTGCAGCATCTCATTGTTCAACTCTTGGCATTGAGCTTTATTTGTTGGCACAAATAAATGTTTTGTTGGCACAAATAAATGTTGTATTTCCATGCTTGAAATTCAGAGAGGAAGGGAATGGCAAACAATGCTCTGATGGTGGTTCATTGTCATAGAAGAGTTTGTCTAAAGCTGAAGAATTGAAGTGCTCATAAAAGACAGAAAGATATTTTCAATTATTATGAATAAGTAGGACTAAATAAGTGACTATCCCATAATTGGGATTAAAATGTCCAGTTAAGCTAGATAAAAAAAAAAAAAAAAAAAAAAAGAGCCTTGATAACCCTTTGAAACAAGAAATATGGTACTTCTAAGGTATGTACCAGCAATTCTGACTTTTGCATGGTGACCACTACTTAGCTGAGATTTTCTGTTCTTCAAGTAGGCGATTGGGATCCTGAAATGTTTTGGATGTATCCTTCATTACACTCTGTCATGCAATTTTCTCATTTGTATGATTATCAGACATTTCTTGTATTTCTTTCAGCAATCAGGTGCAGAAAGCTTCCAGGTATATCTTAAAGACAGTCGTGTACCTTTTGAAGAGACAACATAATATGCCGTTTTGTCATTCTAAGTTTAACTGGTGCCCTAAGATTTCATAGGCTAAATATACAGGAAAATAGTAGTCAGGTTAGTAATTTAAACAAAAATACAAGCACAGCATGCTCTTCATATTACACACATGCTGATGTTTCATTTACTTAACCCACAAGCCATTCTTAAGGTAATAACATGCTACCTCAAGAGGCTAAACTTTCATTACATTTTTAAGGACTAACAGGTGTGCCCTGATGGCTTGCCAAAATACTTCATGACGAACTGCAAAACTAATCTGTGAGCTTGTTATTCACCTCCTGGATCACACTGCACCTGGCTAGTGAAATGGCAATAATGGACTTTGGGCTTGGTCATCCTCATTCAAACGATGAAGGCCTCAAACCACCAGGGCACAGATTAATCACTAGACAGAAGTCATATGTCCTTAATGAGAGTGTCTATGTTGCATAAAAGTGAAAACTCCTACATAACRATTTAGTAAAAACTACAAGTATCAAAATAGTTGTATTCAGAAATGGATCAGGGTCCATGGAACTTTCAAGCACCTATTAGATGTTTTTTTAGTTTGCCCTATCTAGGCCTTTTGCCTTCTGAAACGCCATAGAGGTCTCATCAAAGAGCCCTTTACCACCTGCCTCCCCTTAGTTCACTTGCCARCTGTGCCTTTATTCTCAAAAATACGCACCTGGTGATACTGCAGCCTAATTGCATTTCCAAGCCTACACAGCTACATAAAAGGRAAAATTCCATTTTACTGTTTGCTCCCTACTTTGCCTACCATATGGCATTTCTAAATATAGGGTGTAAAGATGTGCAGCATTTTCTATAAACAGCTCATACTAGCAAAGGTGTGGAATTAAAAGWGAAAACTTCTCACCAGTTTTAAGCAGGAAAACCTGGCAAGAGTTTCACTCATTCTTCCAAAAGAGACAGAATTATAGAAACTTAATTTAAGTCTAAGACACAGTAGCATTTAATAGGCTAAAGAAGTAACAAAAAAGTGGCCACAAAGCAGGAACACGTTTTTGGGGAGGGAGGAGGGGAGATTTTCCTTCTTCCTTGCTCATCTTTGCCCCAAATCAACAACGGAAATGACTGTCTGTGCAACCTGTTACTAAGAAGGTACTTATTTATTTAGTGTGAGTTTGCGAAATGTTCCAAAGAGCAGGTTTTCAGCAGAGGGGCAGTAGTGAAGCACTATGAAGTATTATTTTTGAGGAAGGATGAAAGATGCCATGGTGTTTCCGGGACGYTGGGGAGCGTCCTCCCAGCTCTCAGCTGGTGGAAGTGGCTCCCAGGGGTCTGCAAGATGCCAGTAGATGCTCTTTGCCATCCAAACAYGTTACAAAGTGAGGTAACGTGTCAGTTACTCCTCCAGATGTTGGTGACGGGCAGTGCTCCACACACTTGTACTGCTCATGGCAAAGGCTCACGCACAGCCAAGCACACCCAGGAACGGCTGCATGGCGAGGCCGCAGCAAACCGCACTGGGGGAAATCTCTTATAAAGCACCTCCGTTTCCAACACAAGGCTCCGTTACAGCCACGCCAGGGGCAGYTAACAGGCGGCGGAGCGCGGGGCGGCTTCTCCTTCCCGGGGCGGGACGGGGCGGAGCGGCGCGACAGGCCGGGCCGGCAATGGCGGCGCTGCCGAGGAGCGTGGTGGCCCCCGCGGGCCGGCACACCGCCTCGCTCATCTTCCTGCACGGCTCAGGTGCCGCGGCGCGGGCGGGACGGGGGTGTCGCCAAGGGGCTCGCGCCGCTCTCCCCGCCGCGGTCCCGCGGGGCGCGCAGCCCTCCCGCGGCGCGGCGCTCGACATGGCGGCCGCCACCCGCCGTGCGCTGCCGCCCCGGCACGGCGCGGCACGGACGGGCCTCTCCAGAGCGGGAGAAATGGAAAAAGAAAGAAAGAAAGAAAAAAAAAACAAATCCGATATGGGCACAGTGGTGTGTAGGGTGGCTGGCTCGGGGCTGGAGGCTTCTTTTGTGCTTCAGGTGGCCAGCTGAGTGTGTTTCGAGAATGGTTGCTAACGCCAGCTCGGCTCCTTGCCATGAGCACCGTTATCTCCTGAAACGTTATCTTTTAATTCAGCTTATTATACTTCATTCTGTTTTATTTTTAAGATAGTCACATGCAGAGGATGGTTTCTATACATAAGAACGCCTGGCTTAAGTAAATTTCAAGAATCAGACTGTGATCGCTATTTTCTTAAAATAAAAAGCAAGCCRGCAAACAGAAAAACTTTTTTGCTTAAGTAAAAGTAACAGTTTGAAAAGGTCTGAACTTTATGGTTCCCGTAGGCCAAAAGTACTTGGCTGTATCAGTGAACAATCTGAAAGGAGGGGGGATTTTTTTTTTCCTTAGATGTTATTTTTAACCAGATGAACAACAAAGTACAAAGTCTATCTGACCCCTTTTTATTTATTTAAAGGAGAGAAAAAAAAAAAAAAAAAAACTCACATAGGCCTTTTATCAGGCCCTGGCCCTGGTGTTTTTATGTTTAGGTGCATATGTTCTTTGTAGATATGCTTCACCTATTTGTTTTTTTCTCAAGTGCTTAGCAAATGCCTGTATTTAACAAATAATGTGCTTAATTAATGTGTGTGTTATAATCTAGCTTAACTTTTCTGCAGTTTACATGTTAGAAAACAATAAAAATGAAGGAGAGTTACTGAGATGTGTTCATCCCTCTTGTTAGCACTAATGGTTTAATGCTTGGGGAAGTAGTTTCCTCTCGAGCTGGTGGAGCGAGAGAAGATTATGGTTAGAGCTCGGTTCCACATGTGGTTTAAGTACTCCACACTTTTTCATTTTTGATATGATTTCACTCCCCGTTTGCAGTGGGGAAATAGGAGGGCACTTTTATTTGGTTTTGTTTAGCAATTCCACAAAATAGAATTTAAAGCAGAAGAAGCCGCAGTTCTGCTGCTGTGGCCTGGCGTATAAAGCTGAATTGGTACCTTCTGCGCACTAACTGTGATGGAAAGTGGCAGTCAAATGGCATGGATCCATTTAGTGCAATATGCTTGCCTCAGATAAATTATAGCAAGTGGAGAGTGCAAGTGCAACGTGGGATAGGAAAATAACAGTGAATTCCTAGTGCTGTGCCTCTAGTTTTATGTAGAGGTAGAGCAGCGAAGAAGGCAAATGGATATAAGTCAAGCCTTAAATCTATAATAACATTATAGACTGGTTTATGGTGGAAAATGGAGGGAAAAAATGTATTGCAACTAGTATTTGAAAGGAATGTTAGTGTTTATATCTTATTGAGAAGGGAGGAAAAACAGAAAAGGGGGGAAGAGGGGAAAAAACAGTGCTGCCATTATTTCAGGTTTGGAGACAGACTCAAAACTGCTCTTGAATCATCTGTGCTTTTCCTTTTTTAATGTCATTCAGAAGAACAAATGATATTACATCTAAGTGCAAACCAACCTGCAAGCCTTTGTGAAGACTGCTGAGTTTTCTTTAAAATTCTGTACATACCAAATGGGAAGTTGCTGTCTTTGCAATCTCTGCCCATGTGCACATGCCAAAGCGTTTGGACCAAGGGGCCACCCTGCACACAGGAGGCCAAAGTCAAATTTCCTTTGGCTTAATGAGTGTTCTGTAAATTGTTCATTGACAAACTAGCTTCGMCAACTGCAAGTCCTTTTGCTGTTGCTGGTCAAGTTTAAGAAATACTGGAACACCTCTGTGGTGTCTCCTGAAACATAAGGTGCTCATGAAGACATGAGTGCTCATCCTGCAAACATAGGCAGTTGACCTATCTAAGGACAAGTCCTATGCAAGTATTTTATATATTCAAGCTTCTTTTAGAGATGTTGTTAGCACATTAGTTGACAGCAACCCTGGGGAAATCCATATGTTTCATTGATGTCTACCAAGAATCGGAGATACATTCGTTACTCACTTAAGCAAAGTATACTACGAATGTGGCCAAAACATGTTCTGGAGTTATATCTTTAACTTTGATTTTATGAACATACCACAGAGTAAGAAGCATGCTAGTTTTGGGACTCTGTTGCTAATTTGTCACTTGAAGTATTTAGGTCAAGCACAGAGAGAACTTCATGGTTATGCCATTTGTGCTCAGCAGGAAAAATGTGCTGGTTTGGGGTCTCTTTTGCCTTTCGTTTCCCTGAATTTTCTTTAAAATCTAAAGAAAGGAAAAGCTTCCTTTGGTTTAGGAGTTATCATCACTGCAATGAAAAATTGGTATGTTTATGTGTCTTTAAGGGTTTTTTAGAGACTGCTAGAGATGTGAATCTAAACATGTCTGAGTTCAGGGTGTTTGCTTGATATTTTGTCTGAAGGCCATGTAACCATGAAGTTCATAATTAAATGTGAAGATTCTTTTTATTGCTTTTGACTGAGCTTTGAGGTAAGGTAATACTGAGTAAAATGTAATTCTCCTTTCTTAATTCAGTTTTGAAGTTTTTGTTTATTGCTATTTTTTGTTTATTGCTGTTATGAGCAAATAGCATAAGTTGCAAGTAAGAGGGGAGGCTTTGTGCTTGATTAGGATGTACTTCAGCCATTTGATGTGTTCAGGTATTTATTAAACTTATACAGTGCAATATCTTGAAGAGTCTGCTCCTGGGAAGCTTTCAGTGCCTTATTGTCGGAAAGGGAATTGAAGTTATTCTGAAGGGGATTTATTTTAGCATTCTGCAGGAATAACTGTGTGATTTATTAATAAAGTCTATCTAGTATAAATATTTTGCACATTTTAAAGTCATCCTTCTAAATAAGCAATAACTTTTGCTATCCTCTTCTGTGTGATGCAGGTGATACTGGCCAAGGAGCAAGAGCATGGATAAAACAACTTTTGAACCAAGACATGGCTTTCCAACATATAAAAGTAATTTACCCGACAGCTCCTGCCAGGTATTGTTTGGTATATTTTAGCAGTAAGATTATGTTACTTTATTCCAGTACTGTAAAATACACCTGTGAATATTGGCTTAGATCGTCCTGATGYTTCCTTGTTCTTTCTTGGTGTATGTGGTTTTTGGCAAAACTGGAACTCAGTAGTAGTCTGCTGCCCGGGGACTGTGATTCTAAATGGGTAGGATTCTCTGTAAGTCATAGTTTGTAATTCACATTCAAAGATTGTCCTAACACTCTCCATATTTTTTTTTAAGTAGAAGTTATACGTAGGCGTGTCCTAGCAGTATTATAAAGCCATAATCTGGATCACCATTGCACCTACGGCAGCTTCTATATATTAACAAATGGAATATGTTATTGTATCTTAWGCCAGGCTTCAGTTCTGATGGGTCATCAGTTTTTGTGACAGCAAGGATGTGAACCACAAGAGAGGTCTTCAACTGTTAAAGAAAGGACTGGGAGTTTTAATCCAACATTTTTTTTTTTTCAGTTGCCAGCTGTTTCAGCTTGACATTGTCATCCTAAGAGACTGTGGGCACAGATCTGCTTATTAAATGACCCCAYCTATTTGATAGTATATTGGAAATAGAGATAAAAATATTTACCCCTGGGAATTTGAAAATTAATGAGATTAAATCTTAAAGACAAAATTCAGTACTTATGTTCATATTTGATTATCTAAAGACTTTATATTTATGGCTTTATATTTCTTAGTTGTATATAGGTATTTTAATAATTGGTATTTTTAAAGTGTTTGTGGTTCCAAATTRGGCAAAAATTTCCTATAAAGGCAATAGTTTTTTGTTTTCCTTCCTAGCTATGGATTGAAGTATAGTGTTGAAAAGAAAAGGTAATTTTRACAGTCTACATAGACTTTCGAGGTACAGAAGTTTGAAATTTAGAAAAAAGTTCTTGGAGGGTATATGCAAGTGTAATAGCAGATTTTCTCTGGCAGTCACTAATATGTGAGAAAAAAAAAGTTTCCTTAACCGTGTTTTTTTATGATCTACTTAGACGGGAAAAGCAATTGAGAGATCACAGTGTGAATGTACACACTGTGTTGCAGAAAAATCAAGCCTGTGAGTAGATGTCTTTGAAGAGTTACATTGTATTAGAAAGGAGTGAATATGGTTTTCTGTAAATAATGTGAGCATTATTTCATGGATGATGGGCTAAAGCAGTGACTAGAATTATCAGTAGCACGTTACATGTCCGTTGCGCCCCATTTTCTACCTATCAAAAGCAGCTGCTGTAGAAATGTGGAAAGTTTTGCTTCCCTTTGGACAGTCTCTCCTGACGTGCTGTTAGCAGCCAAAACACCTCGAACAGCATCTGCCAGGCTAGAGCTTCACTTTTCCATTATGCGGCAGTTCTGGACTCCATTCTCATTCACTTGGTCTTTTCTTCATTTAGTTTTCTTTATTTTTTTTCTTTTATTTTGGTTGTTTCTAGATTATTAGAGAGAAATATAGATCATCAACTGGCAAGATCTGAATGAAGCAGGTGGTGTTTCTGGTAAATCTGAATTTAACTTAAGGCTGTGAATTTCAGTTCTTCAGTAAACAGATGTGAAAAAAGATACTGTTGCAATTAGTAGGYGTGAATAAACAGTTGATCCTTTTCCCTTCCTTTAAGTGGAAGTTGTTACTGTGCTTTTCAAGAGCAATGGGATATGTCATACTTGATTTAATTCAAAAGTAACTTTTTTAGCAAAGCTCTGTGAAAAGCTGAGCATTGAAAGGATATAAAATACCTTCACTGTGATTGTCTCTGACAGGTAATGGGAAATACACTTAATATTTGTATACAGAGATGTAGCTAATAAGTAACATTATCTGACATACTTGAAATAAAACAGATACTCTGAAGTGCAATACTGTTGATTGTTCTTTGYAGCAGTGCAGAAGCAAAGTCTGTGAGGACAGGTATTGTTTGATGACATATAAATAGCAGAAACCTTTGCGACAAATGGTATTTTGGTATTTGAGTCCAAAACACAGTATACTTTTTAAAAAGTTAGCAATGTTTTTTTTCCTTTCGTTCAGAGAAAAGAGAACAAGGCCTAGAACATCCAAATTTGAATTACATTAAGATAAGAGGTACTCGAATACACAGCCTGATTCTGTGTGTRTATTTTAGGAATTCCAAATGCTTCTGGTAGAATTCTGCTAATGTAGATGATACTCTACAAGCGCCTGTCTTTCCCACATAGTTTACCACTTATACATTAAATACTCTCAATAGAAGCAGTATGCCAGTGAAAACAAGTTGATGACACAGCCATAATGYTGAAATGGCTTTGACAGGATAATCTGCAGGTCAGGAATTTTATCTACTCACAGGTTTGACTGATGTGATTCTGATAGTGGTTTGATTGGCCTTACTGTACCGAGTGTTTGGAAAAGCAGTAGACTATGTATTTTTCAAGAAAATAATTTTTTTTTTTTTTTTTTTTTTTTTTTGTTAGTGCCAGCTATGTGGGTTTTGAGTTTGTGGCTTGTTTTCTTAATTTTATTTCATGCAATGAAATGCATGTATTTTTCACTTACTGTAATAGCAAACTTGACTTCACTCAAAAGTCAATACGTTTGAGAATTATTTGGGAAAATTATTTGGGAAGCAGCCCAGCATGAAATCTAGAGGAGTTCTAAAACATTTCCTGCTTGGATAGTGCTGACTTCAGCAAATCCTGGAGAGAACACTTTCGTTATATGGGTAAAAATAACAGCATATGGCTGAATTACATCTTATAAAATTGGCTTGGTCTCTTCTCTACAGGTCTTACTTAAATGTTAGAATTTCTAAAAAGAAAAATAAAATCKGACACTTCTCTGACGTTCATGGTCTGTGTAGAGAATAATCATCAGCTGTTGGCAGTGGGGATACAGAAAATAAGTAGAGAAGTTTTTTTTTCTATTAGGTTGTTCTTTTAAGTTTACCTAGTTTCTTTCCAGATCARTGCTACTGTACATAGATTTAAGTTGGTAAATACAACTAAACTTGTATTTCCTCCCCWTTGTAGTTTTCATACAGATATTCCAATTAAAAAGGAGGAATTCAAATTGTTGAGTTAGTAGCTGATGCAATACTTAAAGCCACGTCTACAGTAACAGTACAGTTTAGAAGGAAAAACTTTTTTTTTCCTTTTTTATTTGGGTCAGGATGGCTACAGCTTTAAATACTGTTTCAGCTGCTRTAACTGTGACTTAAGCATTCAGTTTCTATTGAGTTTCTAAATCATAACTGAATACCACCCAATATAGACTTTTTTTAATAGAAAGTGATAGTTTAAATTGGCATGGCAGGAGCTAACGTGGTAAAGTAAAAACATTTAGGCTTGTTTTAATAAGTATACCTTACCTTTTATAATTCCCTTAAAAATCTAGGTCAAAGATTCTTTGCATTGTCTCGCATTCCATTCTGATAGTCTTTCTCTTCTGCAAGACAGAAAATAAGCTAAAAATACTGCTCAGGCTATTTTGTGGATCTTTGACGTTCGCTCAACATACCTTTCCATGGCCAATACTTTTTGCTGCAGGGTTGGTAGCCTGTTTTTTCAGTATATTCTAACTTCTCATTGCCTGGACTATAAATGGCTGGTAAGGGCTGTTTGGCATGACGTGCACTGGTGCTCCATCCTTTCATCTAAGCTTGCGTTGCTGCCCTGCTCCTGGGTGGAAATGAGTTTCGTCTCATCGTAGTCCCCATTTGGCCATATCACAAAACCACCAGACAGTTTGGCACCTTCCAGCTGCATTGGCAGTTTCTGCTCGTGAGAGGCCCAGGACTGGAAATGCAGCAGGGTACTGCAGGTCACACTTGGGATGGATTGGCAGAGCTGTGCAGGGCAGCATGCACAGTGCCTATCATAAGATGTTTGGCTCAAGCCAGTGTTACTAAACCTTCACTTTTGTGAGCCCTAACCTCATTCATAAATTTAACATGAAGGAAGCTTTTTTAGAAGAGGAATTTTGAGGGATAAATGGAAGGAGGTTTGGATGATAACATGACATTGTTCCTTAGTCTTTTCCTGCTAGTAGAAATACGCCATCTATACATAAAAATGATGAAAATGTGATTGTAGCAGCTTTATATTTTCTTTTTTCCTTGCATTAAGAAATTTATATATGCAAGTGAATATTAAAAGCTTGCATTATATAAAAAAAAATGCAGAATGCACTAAGCATTGTGACAGAGAGGCTTGATATTTACTAAGACTTGGGGAGACAAGTTGGAATATAATGGCATTGATGTTGGACTATTAAAGCCATTTACTACATATGGATATTAGATATCCTTCCTCTCAGTCATTTTTTTAGTGCCGTGCCGAGTTCCAATTTTAGAATTAGAAAAAAGTGGTGGGTGTTTGTTTTTTTTTTTTGGTTTTTTTTTTTTTTTGTACAACCCCTCCACCAAGTAGGGGTTCTGGGTTATATTTCATCCTCTGCCCTTACTTGACATCCTTCTCTTTTGCATGGGTTGGAAGTCTGAATTTTCAGTTTTGCTGTGTTTAGCTGGTRTAGTTCATCCATCCTCGACACTGTTTGGTGCAAACTTGTAAAAGACACCTTTCTGAGTCCCAGAGTGCCCTTCAGACCCCTTGTTTTTGAATTCTTGATACATATTATACTATGTGTTACCATATCACAACACTGCATAGTTAACCTGTGCTGATGAACCTCAGTTTTAGCCTAAGATACAGCTTGGACTGTAGAATTTTGAATTAGGCTTCTAATTTGAAGAGGTGAATACTATCTTTTTTTTTTTTTTTTTTTTTTTTAAATTCACTTTCTATTTGAAATAGCTGGTGGGAATTGAAGGGCAGAATTATGGACTAGATTTTCTCTTGTGGTGTACTAGGGTTGGCAGTGGGGTTATGCTAGCATAGAATTTGAGACTAGTGAATAAACTTGCTTTCTTTGGAAAAACTGCCATCAGCTTTAATACAGTCAAGACTTGATTCTAGAGCTTGAGTCATCTTCTGGCAGTGTATGCTGTAGATTTTCTCAAATGGATACATAGACCWGCAAAAGGCAACATTAGAAAGTCTTATTTAACTTTATGCCTTTTTTTGAAAGGAGAAGGATATGGGAAGAAACAAGAGTGAGTATTTCACAAATTTTGTAGTATCTTTCTCTATTTAAAACCCGAACTATGGCTTCACTGCAAATTCCTGGTTCTGTCTGGCATCTCAGGAAGATCTCACTGGAACTCCAGGAAAGTTGTAAGCAGGCACCAGTGGTCTGGGTTTTATTTAACTTTATCARCTGAGTGATTATAGTGCTGAGTGTAATGGCAGTGATACAACTGAGTACCAGGAGGAAGCGTGGGGCAAGAATATTTGCTGTGTTTCAAGATACTGTCTGCTACTCTCATGTTTCTTATTTAAAGCAGCTAGTGGTCTTGCTGGCCTGTCTTTTTAAGTAAAATGTTTAAAAGAGATGGATGGCTTGGATGGCTAAGAAAGCCCCTGCAGTTTTAAGTGAACTGCTCTTCTAAYAACATCATTCTAGAAATGGAATTTTGTATGCTTTCTAGATCTGAATTTGAACCTTACATGGCATCATTCTCCACTTATATTAATTTAAGGTCATTTCAAACTGTTTAGCACAATTCTAAACATGAATAAGAATTATTCACACTTCCCTCTTCAGGGTAGTGGAAAATGATGTTGGCATTGCTGCATGCTTTTAGTATACTTTTGATGCCAGTATATAACTGTTTTTATTATCATGGGCTAACCTGTCTTTATTCTGTTAAAATGTGAATGGTTTGTGTTACTTTGGAACTTTGCCATGAATTCTGCAGAGAATTCAATTCTTTCTATTTGAATACAAGTGTGAAAGATGAAAAGGATGACACATGCTCACCAAGATTTTACATGAAATAATTCTCTTTTTTAAGACATTCAAGTATCGAGCTCTGCTGGATCTTTCTGAGACTGGCCTCATATGCTCAGTCCTTCAAGAAGTATTTGTATGAGGAAACCATTGAAGATCAACACACACCCTTAAAAAACAAGACTTATAAAGTAATCAGCAAAAGTGATCTGGAGTGATGGGGATGCTGGGAAGCTTTTTAGATTCTAACTGTTAGGCACCCTGCAGTTTCTCCTAGATTTTAGGTATTAGCTGTGACTCCTACCCTCCCTTTTTTTGTAATTTTACGTGTTTGGGGTTGGTTCAATCTGCAAGCAGTTGCATTTCAAATATTTTACAAGTGGATACAGGTTTGGAAGCTCATATATGTGGTGGGAGGATTCTTATTCTTTTGCATGTGTTTGAGTTTCTTGTGCATTAGAGGCTTTAAAAAAAAAAAAAAAAAAAAAAAAAAAGGAAGAAAAAGCACTTCCCTTTAGGTTTGGCTATATAGTTATATTCCGAGTTTCAAAAGCACAGGTTTTAGAGACCTAAAGACATGGAACTTTAATACCATTTAAAAAAAAAAAAAGAGAGAGAGAGATAATAAGGCAACTGAAACACAAAATTATTGGGACTAGTGTTAGGGTTGTTTCTTTAAACTCAGGAAAGCAAGAAATCCAAATTTAAATCCAGTTTTGTTTGAAACTGTCCTTAGCTGTCTGTGCTAAGCTTATTGGAAGGAATTTTCACTCCACTTTGTGTTCCTTTGCTTTTGTGCRTTTCAATCCAGCCCTTCATGTAACTATAACATAGGGATTTTTTTTCTTTTGTGGTTTAATTCTATGAAAAAGATTTGTGCTGTATTCTTGGATTGTGCTGTACAGATGGTTCCATGCCAAACATATTTGTTTACCGTGGTAATGTCTGAGTTGCAGTATGCCAGCTAATAAAGGGATTTATTTAAGGAACAAGGTGAATGACTAAAACAGATGTGCCAGTTGGGTGAACCATTAAAAGAATCTTGCTTCTCAACTTTATGTAAAAGTTATTTTTAATGCATTTCTGAGAAATCAAGTATAGTTGCAAGGATGTTTTTGAGACAGCTAAAAGCATCTTGTCTATTTGTGTGAGGGTCTTTTTCCTTTTAGCTTAAAACACATTAGGGTTTCATTTATCTCACTGCAGAATTTGCAAAGACAGCAGATAAAATTCCTGATTTTTGACATTTCATGAGGTGTTGCAAGGCTCATCAGGGATGTTATCCCTACTCTAAAGTGTACATTTTAGTTCTATTATTTTGATATGAGGACATCCATTTTTTAACATTTCTTTAATGACTTGTGTCCACTGCACATAAATRCGTTTCTTCAGTCCATGGAAACACTAGGTTAGCATGTTGTAAAAGTGCTGAAAGACTGTATCTTTTCTYAAATAAATGTTCATTATTGTTACTAGAAAACAAAGCATTCTGGCCAGCAAACATTTTTACAGGGATATCTATGTGAAGGTGTTTGGAAGAGAAACTAAAACTTTTAATCAAATATAATAATATTTGTCTAAGTGTCCGTTGTACATCCTGTAACCCAAGTGCCTTCCAGAGACTCCACTGGTTCTGCTGGGAATTTTTTACCTGTAATGTCTCCTGTTACAAATTGAAACACTTTGCTGTATTTGCTGTATTTGCTGTATTTGTAGCCTTGTTCATTAGATGTTGATCATTTCATTTGGTAAGAATCACAGAGAGATTGTTAGCACTAAAGAGAAGAAAAAGAATCAGATTTTTTCCTTGGACAGCTTCAGTTTGTTGGGTGTATGAAATATAGCCACTGAAGTTCTTTTAATTAGTAGTTATCTTAATAGACAAATAAAACTAATTTGGTAGAGGAGAGGTGTTACTCTTAATTCTACTGCTTATGTACATTCTAGTTTTGAATTAAGAAAATAAGAGGAAAATGGTAGTGCATTGTGTACCTTAAGTTGACCACATACTTGCATGCTGTTTTGAGTAATAGTAGTTTGTAGTTTTATATATTCTTTCCTGAAGCAATGCCCAAATATATGAAGAAGTATAAATTATCTGTGTACCTTTCTGTGGCCATTTCTTTATACTTGATTTATCAGCTTCCAAGTCAAGGGCCATGTATATTTCCTAGAAATAGCACCTAGCGGAATAATATCTGTGTTCCATCATTTTTTACTTGTCTGATTGAGCAAATCAATTTGGAAATAGAGCTTTACATAYGTCAAACCTCTCTGATATCAATAAAGACAGAATTTGTTGCTTCATTTAGATGAATTGCAATAGTGGCTTTCTTAGTTTAGGTTAACTGCATTTTTGTTTAATTATAGTAGTGAAGGAATTCAGAGAGAGAACAGAAGTCACTGTTTGCATTTTTCAGTGGTTCTCATCCAGACAAATTTATCAAAGCCTGTCTGTAGGCAATGATTGTAATCTGATATGAGCTCATTTGAGTTTTAAAATGAAAAATGCACTCCTGATTAAACAGAGCAATTAACATTTTAGGAGATTTGGTTGTGAGAGGAAGCATCAGTCTCAAAGCARTACAGTTGATACTGAATTGCGGCACTATTGCAAGGCAGTAAAATCACCTTTTGTAGGATTTCAGGGCTATATTCATCATCTTTTCTTTTTTGTTGTCATTTTTATAAGCTTCTTTGAATTGTAGTTTCTTTGATTATTTGAGGTTTGGGCAGCATGTTAAAGCAATTAAGATACTAATCTCTCTGAGTATAAATAGGCAGAGGTCCATAATACACATTTGCTGTCTGTTTCAACAAGCATAAGACAAGTGAATCCCATAGAGGTTGCCCCTTCAAAGCCTTATTTAGCAGTTATTTCAGTTTGCYCTTTTGCCAGGTGATTTCAACCCTGACTTTGGGATTAGGAGTCTCTTACAAGACTTGGGATTTAAGTCATTTAGATGAGCTGTTCAGCCTTGGTGTGAAAGTGTCTGAACAGACTGAAACTTGCATTTTATCTCGCTTCCAAATGCTGTTCCCATTCTTGATCTTTGGAATGCAGGAAAGCATGATAGGAGGTAAACTGATAGAACTGAGGGAGGTCAATCCCTCTTTGACTGGACAGTTACTGCATTGTTTATATTTATCATGCCGAAGGCTTTTGATCTTATATATGGTTAAACATTTTTTTTATTTACTTTTTTTCTCCTCTTCCTCCCCAGGCCATATACACCTATGAATGGAGCCCTTTCCACTGTGTGGTTTGACAGGTACAAGATCTCCAATGACTGTCCAGAACACACTGAAACCATTGAATCCATGTGCCATGGCCTTACAGACTTGATCAATGATGAGATTAAAAGTGGCATCACAAAGAATAGGATACTTGTAGGTGAGAAAGTTTTACGTTTTGGGTGGTTTGTTTTAATGCTCCTCACCAACTGGAGATCATCTATCTGCTTTGTATTTATTTTATCCTGAAAGTATATGAGAAATTACTGGAAGTGTTGAGCAGTCCTTTTACCAACAGGTCCTCGAAAATGCCAAATCCTTATTTAAACCTGTGTCTGGTTGGCAACGTGGCAAYCTGCAAGCTGGTTCTTCATTCTCAAAAATTTAGTTTAAAATTGCTTTTGTTAACTGGTCATTTTTAGTTATGTTTTGAAGCATACAGTGAAACATGAATTACTTAAAAATGTAAGGGTGGGAAAGCATGCATGCCCAAAACTAGTATATCTTCGAAAATGCATTTCTAGCATGCAGGTAATGATGGACTTTTCCTTTCTGCTATAATGCTTTGGGATACATGAATTCATAGAGAAACAGTGATTTGTGTGTTAAACACCATTACAGATTAGCACTTCGTAATAAAAGACCTGTTAGCCATCATATTTTCTATGTGCTTCTCTTCCCATCGATGTTAAATTTCCAMAATTTTAACAGTAGTTCTGTGAAATAGATAGTGGGAAATTGAGGCACAGAGGAGAAGCTAGTGTCAGAGAGGAGTGCTTGGCTCCCCATCCCGTTCCCAGACCACAAAGTGTTTCAGGTTGGGGAAAAAACGCTTTTAATGTGGGAAGTTTAGAATTTATGGCCAACTGARTCATGTCATCAAGCTCCTAAGTGGTGGAGCCACTACCAGTAGCCAGCATGTTTTCTTGGTCCAACCCCATGTTGCTCTTTGAAGGCCTCTATTTACTTTCCCTTTCTGGCTTTTTGCCCTGGCTGCAGCATGCATTGTTTTGGATGGCTGTCAGCAAAGTCTCTTTGATGYGACTTGCCTGTGTTATACCTGCTGGCTTGGAAACAGCTGAAGAAGAGCAGGTGCTTTGTGCAGAATTAGCTGGGAGATGCTCTGCTGACAGATACACTCTGATGCTAGACTTGCCTCTTATTTTTTTTACTTTTTTTCTTCTTTTTCCTGCAGTCTTCAAAATGAAAAGTACTGAGGCTGCAGCCTGTGGAAGTTGTTCTGCAAACTGTAAACAGAATAAGGAAATTTACTTGCACCATTTTTTTCAGTCCCTAAATCATGTGGAAATACAAGCTCTGAACCTACTATTCCTCAGCTGTAAATTGGGAATAGTGACATATATTGTCTTTCTGAAGAGCCTTAGTTACTTGAGAAAAGTGCTGTTTCTTTGCTGCTGTAATAGATGCTACATGCATAGAGCTAGCATCCTCAACGTTAAATCTGATATTAATGGAACAAAAATTAGGCAACTCTGAATTAATGCCATCCAAAGTACAGGGTGGCATTAAGAAAGGATCTGGATGCCTAGGGAATGTGCTAGAGGAAATCAAGGTTTTTCATCTAAGTCTGCACAAGAGAGTGCTCCTCTGTGAGAACATTGACCTCTCTCTGCACTAGTTTTGATGATTAACCAGCATATGATGCAATGGAGAATGAAGTTCAGAGATCCTGTGAGGCATTCGTATTCAAAGGCACCTCACAACTTTATAACATTCTTGATTGAACAGATAACATGAGGTTGAGGCTTGGTTATTAAGATAAATACAGTCTTTCTGCACCAAATTGTAAAGTCCACTAGAAAAGGAGAAATGGGTGGGTTTTTCTGACTTTGTGGAAGCTTGGTGTGCTGGACTTCATGCAAATCCTGTCAGATCTTGTTAGATTTCTCTTAAAAAGTCAGGAACATCTCTCTAGTACAAGCGGAGTATTGAGGTGATCAGGTAAGGAACAGAGAGAAGATTTGTGGATGCTGGTACAAGAAAGCTGGAGGAGGCAGCCCTTGGGAGAGAAAGGAAGAAATAAAATGATTATAGCAGAGGAAGTCACAGGGAGTGTTGCTGTATTTCCCCAGTGCACTTGGTCGTGTTGGGTACTGGAGATCAGCATTCCAAATACATATCCTGTTGTGCATATCCACATAATGAGTGCATAATGTGTGGGGGGGAAAAGATTTGAGAGAAGAGATTGGAGATCTTAGAAGTCTGTGAAGGACGGTGGGAGACCTTCTTGGATGAAGTCATAAAAGCTGAGAAGCGGYGGTTTGAGCAGGGATTTGCAGGGAATAGGATGGGTTGTTAGAGAGTTAAGGAAAACTGTGCAGTGGCTCTATTTTGCAATGARTGGGTGTTTTAGTGAGTGGGCCAAAACAAATGTGAGTAAGAAGATTCAAGATGATGGTTTCATATTCCAAAAGAAACTCCAGGCTGAGGATGAGTGTTAGATAGTGTTAGATGAGGGGAAGGTAGGTGTTAGGCAAGCAGAAAGGTGGGCTGACAGCTCTGAGGTGTGGGATAAGAAGGCAAGGTCTGAGGGAGCACYGTGCAAAGGAGAGTGAGTGCGAGGGAGGGGAAGCAGGAGTAGGCACTGAGGCACTGGAAAATGAGAAGCCCAGCACCTGCTGGGGGTTGATACTCTCTCCATTCAGAGTTTCCACCCAGCTGAGGAGTGTGGCTGCAGTAAGGTCATTTAATATGGGTCACAGAAGCCCATCTGGTGCTCGCTAGCGTAGTGTAACTGGCTCTGAAATCCCAAAGCGGTTGTTTAGAGAACAGAAATGTATGAATGTGGGGGAAGTCTGGGCTGTTTGATGCCACTCCTTTACCAGTATATCAGAAAAATTACTGGGGAAAGTACATTGAAAGAATGAAGTATTTCAATGCACTAGAGTCAAACAAAGCCCWTCATCAAACCTCCTCTGTGACTTCTGTCCATCAATGTACAGTAGTACCCAGTGCTTCTACCCATTCCTGCTTCTTGATGGTTCTCATTTCYTAACAGAGACATCCTTTGAAGATAGTTGCCTTCTGGTTCATTAAACCCTCCCTTCTCCCCAACCTTAAAGGAGATAGAAAAGAGACTTTGGCTTAAAAATATAATTATTCAAAAATAATTATATCATCCCCAGAATTTGATAATGGAAGTCAATCTTGCCAAACATTCCAGTAGAGTTACTCTTACCGGTCTTCCTGGCTAATGTCRTTCTTGTAAATAAGTCTGCAAGTAGGTTTATGTTGACTTTGGAGACAGAGAATGATGAAATCAGTCAAATTCTGATGTGTGAGGCTTTGGTAGTACCTCCTCTTAAAAACTGAATGTATCTTTATAAATGCCTGGATTCATTGCTAGATTAGTTAAGCAACTAATCCCATTTTGAAAAATAGGAAAATCATTTCTTTTTCTAGGTAGAGCTGAAATTTTGGGGGGTGTCAAAGTGGAGTTTTTCACTGCTTCTGTAGTGATAGTATAATGTAAATTAACTTCACTTGGGAATTGTCAGAGATTTAAACAATCTTAACCTTGAATAACTCAGAAGCTCTTGACAGAAATGGCCTCTTTATATCTGAAACATTCTATGAGTGCTCCCTTTTGTCAGCTGTAGCTTAATGAAAGGCTGTCTTGTTATTCTCTCTCTCTCTCTTTTTTTCTTTTTTTTTTTTTTTTTTTGTCTTGATTTAGTGTTTCTTTCCATTTCTTTCCACCTTGTTTTTTTCCACTGATACTTTTACAGGTCACTTTCTGTACAGCACAGAAATGCTGATCCAAGCGTGTTGGTCTCTGCCACCTGTAGTCACTTGTGTAAGCAGCCAGTGAAAATAAGCTTTCAATAACAGTCCTGTAGATTTGACTGTATGCCAGAAAACACATGCTTGATTCCTGACCCCTTGTACTATAACAATAACACACAACACAAGACACACAACCACTTTTGTTTATTGCTGGACTTCTTGCATAGCTACTGAACCGTGGTGGAAGTAACATGAAAGTTCTGTGCTTCTTGTAAATATTAGCGTTTTCATCTCTCTCAGTATGTGTGAAAAGGGGAGGAAATAYCTTGACTTTCTTGACTTTGACATCCCAGAGAATGAAGGTTCTGTAAATATGGGAAGATGGAAAATAATCAAGAAATCAAAAAAACAATGAGTAAGCTGCACCTAAAATCATGTTACATTTACAGGTTTTGTCATGAAGCCTTTTGCTTTGATCACTTGCAGCATCTTGTGTTTGTATTTATTAAAAAATATTGCCTTYATTTAGAAGGACCCTCTATCTTGCTTTCATAGAGCACATTTAGGAAGCTATATTGTCACTTGTCACTGCAATTATAATTCAAATGAGGTTATTCCTTCTGTACTGTTTGTGTAGAATGCGGCATGTTTTATCTAAATTATGCTTATGAAATGCTTGGCTTAACCAAACTATTAGTCCATCTTCCCCACAATACTTGAAAAAAATTCAGTGATTTTAGAAGAATGTTCTCTCTGCTTGTTTGCATATGAACTGTTCATCTACTTTTCTCTCAGTTCTCTGCTTTTATTTTCCTGATGTGCAAGTAGGAAGCAAAATAGATGACGCTTCCATTTCCTGTATTAATCATTGCAGTAGGAGCTGCAAATAGCTAATAGGTTTAATCAGAGATAACTGAAGAAAAAAGTACTGTTTAAAAGAAACACCCTAAAACTAGCTCCCAAATATGAATCCGTATCTCCTGAGTTCCTGGAGCTTAGCTTCTACACTTCATCTTTTAATGCTGTGCTATAGTGAAGATGAACTCCTTCATCTCACACTCTAACCTGTGTGGGAAGAGCTAATGTTCCCTCTCTGCAAGTAGCATAAATCTGTACTTAGTGAATTGTATGCTGAATGTGATTAATACCTACGACTGTTTCCAGACAGTGTGACTTCTAGTGTGAAAATTTAGTGAGTTCTAGTGCTTTGATCACCTAAATAGAGTGGAAAGACCTAAAAATCATCCTAGTTCATTGTTTTGTAAATACATCTACAAAACTACAGCAAATTGATTCAGGCACTTTACAGTCAGATTTAATCAACTTGTGAAGCAATTGGCAACTGAGAAGACATGTTTTTTCAGGGAGGAGTTTTTCTTATGAATAAGAATGAAAACCTGAAGGGCATCCTGATGCCAGGAGTGGGTCATTGCAAGCCTTTGTGTGGAGCAGGAGAGAGAAAGGGAGAGTTTAGCAGTTGTTAGCATTCTGCCCTATATGCAGGACACTTCTGAGTGAGAGATGTTAAATAAAGAAACCTTTATTTTAGATAATAACATTAGCCATTTTCTTAGATACAAACCCAAACATTGTCAGACAACATACAAGAAATGAATAAAGCCGAGATTTGACAGTAGATAAATATTTGGTTTCCTGAACTTCACATAATGTTGAAATATCATCATGGATCAGATTGTCATTTCATACAGATATAAATTAGGAGCAAATTAATAAAAATCAAGATATGTAGGGGAAATGAGCTCAGTATTTTATACTAATATTTTTATTTTTAAAGGCTCCTAATGCCATTTGTAAGCAAAGGAAGAATTTTTTTTTCCTTTTTTAATCATTGAAACGTGACAGCTGTAATGGTCCCTCTTCTTCAAGTAGGAATAAATTACACATGAGAAATTCAGACTGTATTCATTCCATGTTATATCACTATGGGTTAGGTTATCTTAATATATTTTTGCATGGTATTCCAGCAGAAAATGCTTTGTTCTTAATAAGGTGCCACATGGGAAACTTCTTACAATTCTTTTTTTTTTTTTTNTTTTTTTTTTTTTTTTTTTTTTTTTTTTTTCTTTTATTCAGATATGTGAATATCCTGTGATTTCAGCAGTTTTTTTCAGCTAACAAGGCAAGGGGCAAGCAGCTGTCTTCATCAGCCTGTATGGTCTGTGTAGTGTCATTAACATCTTCACTGTCCCCATTGTCAAAGGGTCTTGCTGATGTTTCTCTCATGCTAACAGAGAAGTGCTTTGCTGAGCTGAGTTTATTTTGCATGTGCTTACCTCTTAAAAGCCTGTCCGTAAACCTCCTTTGCAAGGCAGGAAAGCTAAAACTGCTGTAAATGGTTAAATGTTTTCCTGAAGCAGAGCCTGTAAGGAATAATGCTGTATTTCAATCACAGCTCCTGAGCATTATAAAGGCAGTATATTTTTTTAATTGTTTCTAAGCATTAAAGTCTCTTAAAATACAGATATAAGGAGAATACATGGGGAAAAATAATGCTAGCAGACACTACGTGTGTGAAAACAATTGTCAAGCTCTGAACTTTGACAAACAAACTTTGCTCTCTTTGGGAATACATTGGTCTCAAGAAAAGGGCTGGCTAAGGTTGAAATGTAGTATCGCTTCTGGTGTTGGTCAGCACTCATGACAATCTGCTTAACAGTAACCTTGCATGTTCTTTACTATGAGATCATTGGTGTATATAAGTATACCTGTATTTTTGCTTACATCCTGTAATATCACTTGGGACATTTGTGCTATATCTGTGTATTTCTTTTATTTTTCCCTAATCTGAAAATTATTAAAAGTTTTGGATTGAACCTACAAAAAGACAGCATTTATAACTGAAAAGTTTTGCCTCAGATTATAAATATTTATTCCAAATACTGTCTGTAAGCCCTTACTGTAAATATAGTATATGCTGRGAGATTATTGTGGTATCAAGTGATAAACTGCAGGTTTTCCCCTGGAAAATCAAAGAACTAGTCATTTGCATTACATTCTGTCATAGTAGTATCAGCCACATGAAAGAACCATTACCTAATATTCTTCTAAACAGAAGGTGACTGCATTGTCAAAGACTGCTGGTGAGTAATTGCAGAGAGTGGTGCCAGATTGTGACTAAATGGGTACAAAATTTTAGATTAAATCATTTACAAACTAGTAATGAGTTTTCAGTGCAAACTYTTTTTTCTGTATTCTAAAACACTTCAAATAGGCTTCATTTTATATGTGGACAAAAATATATCTGTATGTGAAAGGAAATACAAAATGGCCTGTAAGTATATGTTAATGTGTAAGTATAAGTGTAAGCCCTATTTGAGAGGGCTTTGGTATGACTGGATCATTCAGAGTARTCACTAGGAAGTGATGAAGGAAAGGATCAGATTCCACCGGAGAGAATAAAGAAAACTTGAGCACAAGACACATTGTTTATGTAAGAATCTTGAGTAACTTGTGTTTTAAGCTCTTTCTCAGTTAACTGTTTCTTTCTCTCGCTGTGGATGTAGGGACAATGTTGTAGTTTCCTTGTGACTCTCAAGTAGTGTTTTTTGCTTTATAGAATTGTGCTGCATATGACAGAGAGCACATCCAGTAGGAACTGTTGATGCAGCTGAAAGGCTTATAGTAGTATATTCATCATTTTTATATCTATAAAGGCAAATTCATTCAAAATGTCAAGTGATTTCAGGCTGACCGTGAGGCTTTCAAAGCTATTCTCTAARTTAATCCTGTCACATTATTTCATGCTTTTCCTGAACTGCCCCCCTAGACATCCTTCTTTTGGCTTGAAAAAGGTGAAGGTATTGACCTTCAAAGGTTAGTAGCATGTCCCAGCTTTATTTACCAAAGATCRAATGAGGGTATTATCAGATCTGAGTGCATAGCTGCAGGACTTGAAAAGATACCCTTAGTTTTCATAATTCATTTAAGGATTGTGTTAGCAAAGAAGGAAAGAAAGACTTTAGTCTTCCTTCCTTAGGTTGGATGTTCTTGTTCATTTATCCCGCGAGATTCAAGTTCTGCAACTTGGGAATCTGCAGCTTATTGCATTTGGCAATATCCATCTCTTAGGACATACAATAAGTAGAAGTCAGAAATACAATGTAAATTCTGATGAGGAATTGAGGAAAAAAATCAAGAAAAACTGTTGTGAAACTGTTTTGTGAACTGTTGTGAGGAGAAACGCTTCAAGTCTGGATTAGTTTTGTGTTTTCAGGAAAATTTCCTACCCATATCCAGCCAAATTCTCCATAGCAAGGAGTGTGGGCCTAAAGGGCCTCAAACCCGGCAGGACCTGCAGCTAAACGTGCTGGAGAGGATCCTTCTTCAGGGACAGCCTCACCACGGCCAAGYGGAGCATTTTCTGCCTCTGAATCCTATGCACCCTAGGGATTTGCTGTGTGATTCCAGGGTACGGTCAAGTCCCGAAGTTAGGCGGTTTGTGCTAGGCTTGGGTTCAGTGACATGCACGCACGCTGCTTCCTGGCCAAGCTCTGTTCAGCAGCTGTGTGAAACCTGTGTYTAGCACAGAGCTGAGCTCACGTAATTCTTGTGGAAGAGCCATTCTCAATTTTGGAGTCGTGTTTTAACCACTTCAGAAAGACACTAAGCTGAAATGCCTTGTTATTTCACCTATTATTTCTGTATTTCTCCTTCAATCTGTAATCGGGGTCTTTTGTGTAGGAAAGCCCGGGCTCAGAATTTCACACCTAATTAACACGAGTTAACTACCTGGCACAAGGCAGTGGTATTGCCATTACTCTCCATGCTATTGCTATTCTAAGTTGAGCTGCAGTCAGAGCCTTTCTAGGTTTCCATCTCTGGGCTASGAGAGATTTCAGCAGGCCCGTTATTCCCATGCCAGTCATTATCTGGAGGCAGCCAATGTAATATGTGCTGTATCCTTGTAAAGTAATACTGTGGTCTGGATTTCTTTTCTAATGAATAAGCATCAGTCATGTAAAATCATACGTGAGGAATTAATCTCATTTAAGGAGTTAGTGCAGCTTAGGAGACAGATGGAACTTCAAGTCATTAGATCAGCCACCSTGTTAAAGCTCAGATGAAGCACGTGGCAGTGTTTCCTGATGTTATTGGTTATTTATCCCAAGGAGTAACAATAACAGAAGACCTCAYCATGAGTATGGTAGTCTAATGTGATAAGTGTTCCTTAATTAGGAACAACAGTATACCCATATCTTCCATGGATGAATGGTACTATCCTAAGGGAAAAACAAGTTGTATAAAGAACAAGGGGGATTCTTTGTAGACTTTTGTTTTATTARTGTCAGAAAACGTAGCAACAGTGTTCAAGTATTTAGTAGAAACCATACATGAATAGATTAGACAGTGATTTTTTTCCCCTTTCTCTCTCAGTAAAGATTCTTTAGCAATTCTTTATTTACCTAGCTTCTTATTTGAATGTTGGTATGATTTAGGATTCTTTGTTGTAACCGTTGTTATTTGAGATGGATTTGAGGTGCTTTGTATATGAAAGAAAAAAGTCAGAAGATGAGTTACAAAGATGTGGCAAAATCTTTTTTTATTTTTTTCTTTTTTCTTTTGTTGCATCACAGGAGGCTTTTCAATGGGAGGCGGAATGGCAATGCATTTAGCATACAGGTTTCATCGAGATGTGGCAGGAGTCTTTGCACTTTCCAGTTTTCTTAACAAAGAATCTGCTGTTTACCAGGTGAGTATGTGATAGACTTTATGGAAATGCTGCTTASCCAAAAGATCAAAATTAAGTTTGATGATTTTCCTAATTTGGAGCAATTGATTAATATTCTAAACAGACATTTTAGACATGACAGCTGACATGTCAAAAAGACATTTCCTGAAAGTTGTTAAGAAGAATATGAGGAAAAAGAGGTTTTAAAACTATCCTTACATGATATTTCATTGCTTTTTGCACAGACAGTACAATTATTTTGTTCAGTAAGTCAGTACAGAAGGCAGATGAAAAATGAAATGCTGTGTAAGTTGTTATTAGTTATTTGAGACTCTGCATAACTGTAACTATTCTTTCAAAATTTGTAGTGAATTATAATACTCATGGGTTCCATATTCTATTTGGAGAAGTCATAGCCCTAAATTTAAACCTTGTCATTTGTCAGGGTTAGCACATAAAAAGAATTAGAAGTCTTTTTTTCCCAGTGATTCTTTGCTTTTGTACAGGCAGTACAATATGTCCACTGAAAGGCATATGAGTAAAAGAAATGCTATGTAAATTGTCATTCCTTAGTTACAGAGACACCGTGTAACTGTAAGTATTCTTTGTCTGACAGTGTTTTTTTTCCATCCAGGCTTTGAACAGAAATGAAGGTGACCTTCCAGAATTATTTCAGTGTCATGGAACAGCTGATGAACTAATTCCTTACTCCTGGGGTGAAGAAACCAACAAGATGTTAAAGTCGCTGGGAGTGCCAGCATCACTGCACACTTTTCCAAACCTTGATCATGAATTAAGCAGAACTGAAATAGAAAAGCTAAAAACCTGGATTGTAGAGAAATTGCCCATTGAGGTAGCAAAGTCAAATGAATAAAAGCTAGAGCTTTCATGTACTTTCTGAGTTTTGATCTTCTTAAGGTTGTGCAAGACAAATGGGTGTCCCATACATGTTATATAATAGAAACAAAACTTCAGGTAGACACTGTTATATTCCTCACAGTTCACTTAGCATGATGGTGCTAACTGCTAATGCACATCTTGAGTTTCTTTTTTTGTTCTCTTGTCCAATTTTTAAATATGCATCTGTCAGTCTATGGAAGATAGTGACTGATGACCATTCTTAAATGATCAGAATAATATTCCGGAAGAATTGCCCTGACTTTTCCAGATCCATTTTCTTTTTCATTTTAAGATGGAAAAATATCCAGTGGCATGATTGTCTTTCTAAAGCTGTTACGGGTGACAAAAGGCAAGTTATTCTCAAAATGATGGRCCTTTGCCTGTGGAAATAATTGCTCAAGTTATKTCATTGAGAGTAGCTCTCAGTGTAGTAGTAGTRGTACTTTGGAGAGTAGGATATTCAGTTTATGGAAATTACTCAGCATCAAAGAGGAGTTGTGTGCCACTTCAGAGAAATAACTGTCATTTTATTACATTTCAAGAAGACCTAAATAGGAGCRTGTCTGTATCCCCCATGCTGGTTGTYACCTATGGTCACTGGGGTGTTACTAGAGGTCTTGTTCTGTGTGAACTGCATGAGTTCCATGCGACTTAGAAGTGCTGGGGTTTTTTTGTTTTAGTCCCATGATGATTGTTAAGATATATCCTGTTTTTGAAGAAATCATTCTTTGGGCWCTCTTCCTTTAGAAACTTATTTTTGCCAGCAGTTTTATTTTGGTCTGCAAATTCACCATTTAAACTAAAAGATGGGAATACTTGAATTCTCTGTGACTGTTTAAAGGGGGTATAAATAATGACTGTGATACAAAGAAACCATGTGTCCCTTTATTTTAATGGTGCATGATTCATCTCTGTCAGATTGMTGAATTATCTCAGCATATAAATATCTATTCTTATGTAATTTTTATACTACTTTTATTTTCCCCCTTTTGCCCCATTTTCTCCTCCTCAGCTTCAGTAATTTTATTAGCATGACAAGGTATTCAGCCTTTTGCCAAAGTCAATACATCCAAGTCTATTGCTTAATCTTCTCCTTCCCCCTCCACCACAGAGTGGATCTAGGACACTGTTGTTTGCTCTGTCATAGCAAATTGTTGCCAGCGTTGGCTATTACTGCAGAAGGGTCGGCCAGCTCCAGGGGACTAAGCTTTGTTCGCATCCTCGTGCACGGTGCGCCAGCTTYTACCTATCTTGAAGAATTAGCAAAGGGGAAAAAATGTCGCTGTTCAAGTGCAAGGCATGTAATTGGCAGTAGCAACTAACAACTTCCTGCTGCTAAAAATATTTTGCTTTATTTCATTTTGCCAGCATTAGCAAGTCAGCAGTCTGTTCTGAAAAACAGGATTTTAAATGGCACATGAAAACTCTACTATTTGAAACAGTAACTGAGAAGCACTTTTTCCTGGTGCCTTAGGCTTCCTAATTATTACAAATTAAATTGAAACAGGTGTGTTTAAAGTCAACTGAGCTAACATTGCCTTAGCCCAACTCTAATAACAATCTGTGAGAAGTAGAGGCTTAACATTGTAGTGATGCTACATCATTTTGAGTTTTGCATCATTTTCTACTCTTGCTGCAGTTGCTGTGAGGATGCTTTTTGAAGCACTAATGTGAGGCGATAATTCATTTGGGTGACAAGTGCAGTGGGATGGGAAAATGACAGGCTCTTGGCAAGGTGGCATAGCAATGTCAGAGAGATAAGATGATTGAAACAGAGCTCGTGGTGGGAATAAAAGTTATTTCCAAGTCAATAGAGCTGAGTTTGCAATCTTAACAACTGCAAGTACAGCGGATGCAGTTTTGTTCTCTTTATACAGACTGAGAAACAATTATAAAGGTCTGTGTTTCACCACATTCCTGCAAAATAGCCAAGTCCTTTACTTGTCTGTTTTCTTCAGTCTTGCTCAGCTTGCAAGTGAAATGCCAACTAAGCAGGAGATTCATTATGACATTTTATATATGTGTGTGTGTGTGTGTGTGTGTGTGTGTGTGTGTGTGTGTGTGTGTATATATATATATATATATATGCTCTACAGGGATTCCAAGTCATCCAAAGACCTTACAACTCTTGAGAACCTTTGGAGAAGTTAAAAGTCTTCCAGATAATGCTTTGCTTTAGTCTGCAGATACTTGCAGAGAGGGTAGTATGACCTTCCTAGCCCATTTGCTGAGGATGATGTGGTTCCATATCCCAGCTGGTGCCAAGCTCAGGTTGGACAAACAGATTGAAGCTCAGCCCAGAAAAATTTGGACTGCTGGTTGGTATTGAGAAGCAGCCAGGAGCAATATTAGTCTTTGAAGACAGTGGATCTGCTGTTAAATCTCTAGTCAAATGAAAACTTTAATAGCCAAAGTTAGTTTAGCTGCCTGACAGCATCTTACAGAAGTAAACCAGATTGGTTTTTGACTGGGTTTTCAGTTTTGACCTGAGCCTATTTTACCACACTTAAAATATTAAAAAATCCTTTTTAGATTGGTACTGGAGTACAGTTCAGTGGTTCACTTGCCAAAAAGACATCTCAACAAAGCTTATGGCACTGCTTTTGGGGGATCTACCTCTTCATTTTTGGGTGAAGTACTTCATAAAATGCTTAATTATTAAAAACAGTTCCTGTTTAAATGATTAGTTGCACGTTCCTGAAATAGAGTTATAAGTCGTGCTGGAGCCTACAGAACCCTGAACTGGGCTGTGTTATATATAGATTTAGAGAGGCAGTATCTAGGGTTGTTTACATCTGAAAATGCTAGAGAGATAGAAGCCAAGTACTTTGAGAAGGATCTCTCATCGACCAGTCTCCTTATACATAAACTTTCTCTCATTTCTTTATTTTGGAGTGAAAGAGAAAACCATAATTAAAGATGCATAATTTTGTAGATAATTTTGTACATAATTTTATAGAATAAAATACAGATTTTCAGTTTCAAGCATGCATCTATATCACATGAGCTACTGAAGATACAGCATTAACCAGAATGAAGGCTGTGTGCTCATCTGAAGAAGGCAGAAGCCATTAGTTGCCAGACCATTTGTATTCTTAGTAATCCCCCCAAGGTCTATATTACTATTTCTCAAATCTAGAGAAGAGTTTGGGCATTTAAATGCAACTTTAAAATACAGCTGAAGTAACTGAGTGAGTAAAACCATTCAGATTGATGTTACTTTGCTGAAGCTTGGTTTTGTTTTTGGAGAAAAATGTAATTCAGTGAGCAAAAGAAGTTTAATTTAAACTTTAACTCTCTTTGACTCTGTAAGTGTGTTCTGTGCTGCTTCAGAAACAAAGCAGTAGTGTGTAGACTTCAGGTTTTTAGTCTTCTGACATTACACATTTGTATTTCAGACGTTTGAAATTTGYGACTAGATCAGTGCTGTGAACTTGGGTGCTTTCTGAGTAATTTATGTGGTAGTACAGACATGTAGAGCCAGAGAACAAATGTAAATAGGGCAGGAATCAGCTGATCAATATGGGAAGCCAAAAGTCATTGGTAGCATAATTTTGACATTAAATTCTCTACTTAAATTAATCTCTTTGCCTGTTAAATCTTTACACTCTAGCTTTTTTAGTAAATCATCTTTAAAGCCATTTAACAAGTCTCTACAGATGAAGTGAGCCAAGTGGGTGAATGTAACTTGTATTTATAAAGATGAGATCCAGATGGCAAAACATGGAAATGGGAACCTAGTAGAGTATGTTAGAATTAGATTTGTTAAGACATAGATGGAGGAAAGCATTAGGAGTTTGCTTTCCAGTTGACACATATTCTAAGACAGTCAAGTTTATTTAGGAGATCTCCAAAGAAAAACCTTTTCTGTGACTTTTTCAACTTGAATCAGCCTTCAGTTAAAGGTGCTTGAGAGAAAGGAATAATGCAAGTGCCAATTCCTGTAGTAGTTTTCCTACTCTTTTTCTTTTCCCTCCATTGGACATACACAGTGTCATTACTCAGAAGAAATGACTGTCACTTCTATTTCCAATATCAAATTGCCCAGTCCAGTGTTTCCTTTTATGTTGCAATGGGACTTTGCTACATCGTGTTCATGTTCTTACTTGCAGATTGATCAGGAGCACTTGCCCAGGCTGTGTGTTACTATTGCCTTTCCTATACGATGCTGTGAGGGAGAATATTTGTTTTTAGAAGTGAGAGTTAGAAGGAAAAAACAGTGGTATGTCTACCCCCATTTTGTACTTCATTGCTTAGGGTGTTAGCTTAAGACATGAGATTTAATTCATGGATTTAATGGATTTAATTCTTCTGCCCTTCAGTGGTGTTCCTAGCCTTGCTCCATAACTTAAATAGTCAATTTATCATTTTTTTTAACTGTACGCTACATAGTTGTTTTCTAAAGCAGACGTAGTAATCCAGATTTAGCCTTGCTTAGATGACTACCTGGGAAAGAGTTAGGCTTGTTCTCTATCTCTCTCTTAATGAATATATATTTATTGCTGTTGGAGTAGAGAAGATGGTACACCACCTTGCATCGGTTTGCTGATTACTAGTTTGGGTAATCTGAAAATGTGATATATCAACTTGCCTCCAGTCAGGCCAAGGGGGAGGATAAGTTTGTATTCTGTATGTCTTGAGTGAGTTTTGTGCTCACTGAATATTTGGGAAAAAATAATGTCAATAGTGTGCCTTTAGAAAGACTTCTTGTTCTCTAGGTACTGTCTGACTCTTTTAGGTTACCTGCTATGGCTGAGACAGCTTCTGTGAGTCTTATGTGAAGTACAGAAATCTCCACTCATTTTGGTAAGTATGAGAGGGATGTAGATGCTGCGTTGGTGATGAAAACAGCACCTGAAATGTTGTGTGGCTTTGTTGTACAATCAACTCTCTCTCTCTCTCTCTTTTTCTTTCTCTCTTTTTCTTTCTCTCTTTTTCTTTCTCTCTCTCTCTCTTTCTCTCTCTCTTTCTCTCTCTCTCTCTTTCTCTCTCTCTCTCTCTCGCTTTCCCTCTTTCTTAAGAAAGTCTCTATAGTGAACATTTAGCCTTATTCTTTGATCAAGTGATTCTTTGTTCAAGTGACATTCTTTGATCAGTGACAAGGAGGTTGGATTCCTGGGAATAAATTGAATGAGATTTTTTAAACAGGGCTGACTTTTCCACTACTTTGTGTGGTTGGTATTTTGTCATTAAAGCATATCATGCATGGGGCTCTTTAAAGTGCTTGTTGGTTTAGATTAAATATGGTACCATGGACTAATAATCTGATGCACAGAATAAAACTGCAGAAAAATTGTGTGTGCACCTTTTGTGTAGTTGGAGTGTCTCAGAATATAAAGCACACCCAACTGCAGTTTCTATGCACGTTCAATCAAGACAGTAGATTATAGAGTGACTTCTGTCTTTTTCCAGAACTGCAAAATAGTAAGTCAAACTGCAAGGCTTACTTGTGGTGATAGTTGATGTAAAAAAATTCTCTCTGGGGCACATTTCAGCCAAATACTGATACTCAAGTATGTGAGCAACCCCCTACTGACTTAGATCCTATAGTTCCCACTGATGGAACTGTATAGGAAGCCTGCCTTCAAAGATGGAGTTTGTTTTATTTTAGTTTGAAGGGTTTGGGGTGAAATGCCTAATGTAGCCAAGGTCTTATGGGGGGCAGCCAAAATAATTATGAACCCTGGCCACAGTAGTATGCCAAAAATGTAAAAGCAGTGATTTAATACTTCCAGAGTAGTAAGAATGGTTGAATACTCTAGCATC